GATGTGTTGGAGTCAAGTCTATGTTTGTTCCAAATCACCCCGAAGATCAACATGAAACTGACAAACTCTTCTTTCAGCGGGCAACCTTGTTTGCAAGGGCTGATTTTGGCTTTTGAGGGTTCCATGTTGAGTGCTACTACACTGGATCTTCAACCTCGTGCTTCGCGTGCAATTGATTTTCACACTTGCGCCCTTCCCAAGCATTCCAGAAGCGTACTCTGAAAGCCCCGAAATGTCCACCAGAGGAGCCGCCCCATTTCCAAAGTAACTCCAAATCGCTTTCCGACCTCAGGGCTTGGAACCACTGGAACCTTCCAGGCTTGGCTACTGGGCCATAGCCGCCCGGTCTTAGGCTCGGTTTTTCCGAGCCCCGTGGCGAGGTTCTGCATCGCCATGAGCGAAGTCGCAGACTTCTGCATCAACGTCAATGAAGTGGGGGACCGCGCCTGGGGCAACCTTTTAAAGAGCAAGTGATTCCCAAAAAGGAATACTGTATATATATACTATTATTCGTTAAGCTTTCTATTCAGGCATCACAACTCCACTTTAACCGACCTCCAGTGGGTTCTTCTTTTGGGCCTTTGGGGGACCCCTGGTTGAGTCCCATGTCATGTTAGCTTGCTGCGGAGTGTTTGGTGGAATGCAATATGTCTACGTTCTTGGTTCAGGGTCACACCTTGACCAAGGTGGCATGTGTGCCCTTGCACGCGTGGGCACCATGCTCCCCTTCCGCCACTTGGGCCAAACTCAGCAAGTTGGACAGCAGCAGATGGGGCAAATGGGCATCAATTGTCTTTTTATTGGCCCTGTTCTGTCTGCAGGGGAAAAGCAGCATGTTAGACTCATGGTGGCACACCCAGAAGGATCAACACGGCCTGCCTGTTCAGAAAGGTTTGCCCTGTTGATGCAAGGCTTTTTTGGATGCAAGGCATTTTCGTGAAGGATGGATGCCCTCCTCCCCACCAGTGAATTTGACACTGGCTGCCGTGTTCAGGGCGGGGCAGACTGGGCGTAGGCAAGCCACCGGCTTTTTGGACCTCGTGGAGCAGCTTCCAGATGTAGCCTCTCAAGGTTAGGAACTTTCAAGTTGTCTTCCAATTTGTTGTGCACTTCCATGCAACGCTTGTTGGAACCAGGGGTAACAATATGTTGAACTCTAGGGTTCGGATTCTCCCCAACCCATGGGTCGTTTTTGACGAATGCATGCGAGCCAATTCAGCAAGCAAGCGCCGCATGGGAAAATTAAGCAACCAGTCAAAGAACAACCTCGAATCAACGCACCAACTCGGCAAGCAGCTTGCCGACTCATTTTGAGGACGGAAATCGCTGGCCGCCAAGGGAGAAACGAGACAACTTCCAGGGATGAAAGTTGTGCTCAGGTGACTTGGCGGACTTCTTTGCGATAGACAGGCGCTCAGTTGTGCCTGCTGTTAGGTTACCTTCCATTTGCTGAAATGAATATGTTTGTCAATTTCCCCTGTACGTATGCTCTCATTTTTCCCGGGGGACTTAATTAAGCAAATGGAAGTGATCTACCCGAGGGTCCAGGAGTCCAGGAGCTTGATACGGGTGTGTGTCAAACTGGAGGAGGATTTGTATGGTTTTCCTTTTGGTAAGCCGTTAACCCAACTTGAAATGGGTAGCCTCAGAAACATAGGTACACATGCATGTCACATATACATAATATATATATATATACAATATGCATATATATATACAGACGTATTAAGTAGGCCTGGCCCAAGGACAACCATATCGGGGATGATGGCATCAAGGCTTTGGCACAGGCGGCCTCTGAGGGAGCACTGCCTAGCCTGAAGCTCATGTACCTCTACAGCCCCTCGACGTTGGCGACAACGAAAACGGCGATGCGGGCGTGTCTTTGCTTTGAGGGTGCCCTTTGATCCAACAGAACTTGAGAGCGCTGAGCTTGACTGCTTCGTTTCTCCCTATTATTTGTGAGGCATTGATCCAGATGTCAGATGGCAACCCAGATGAATCAACCTGGTCGATTAATTAAGGGCTGGTTCCCCAAAGAAGGATTCCCTGTGTTTGGAGCACCCTCGATCAAAATCAACCAGGAGTTTCTGAATGGACCTTGTTTGCGCGACCAAACTTGTCATGGGGTGAGAGGGGGCCTGTTTGAAACAGCACCTCAGACTACATCGGTGAAGATCCCTTACCTGGAGAACTTTGTAGTATTTGCAGATGCTGTCCAGCCAGCATACCTTTGAGGATGTGTTTTGGATGCCTCACCGCCACCACAGAACAGGGAAGCAACTGTTGGAATCACAGGGGGGAACCGAGGCAATTGCATTGGTGATGTAGCCTGGCTGCATGATGAGCCACTTCTATTCTAACCGTGTGCTACAGGGGAGGGGTTGTTGTTCAATGTCTCACTTCCTGAGTTCTTGGACTTTAAACTTTTTGGGAAGACCATTGTAGTGGTTCTTGGGCCATCTACTCAGGAAGTGAGACTTGTTTGACTCTTTGTTTGTTTTGCCAAGCCCACCATATTAGCAGTGAGTCGGGTGGGGCCTGGCCGAGAACTTTGAGGGTGCAGGGCTCACCAATTTGAGGATAAGACTTGCTCGCCATGCAGGGCTCAGGGCTTTCACTAGCGTCCCATTCTTGTCTTCCGGTCTCGGAAAAATTGGGTTTCTTTGTATGGTGGACCCCAAGACCCCCCATCTCTTGGTGCACTCACTTCCTGAGCTCATGAACTTTAAAATTTTTGGGAAGACCATTTTAGTGGTAACTATAAAGTTTGGACTTTTTTGGGGCCATCCACTCGGCAAGTGAGTGCACATGTTATGTGAAGGGAAGCCAGCAGGACACCCCTCTCGCCGAACCCCGAGGCGGGCTTCACCGCCTTGGCGGAGGCGGCGGCCTTGGGCGCCTTTGCCCCCAACGGCCTGGAGACGCTACTGGCCCAAGCCCCGGCGCGTCGCAGGCGGTTTTGGGGAAGGAACACCGGGGCGCTTGGAGGAGAGGTGTCCCGCCCTTTTTGGGAGAGTACCCATGTTTGGATGGTTTTGCAGGGAAAACGATGCACAGCCACGCTTTTCGGGGATTCCCCGAGTTTCAGACACACCCACATCTCGGCTGGTTAAAAAACAAAAAAAAACACTTTTACCAGCTCCTTCGCCGGATTCCGCAGCAAATCAGATGGTTTTTGGATGTTTAGGAACCCAGACAGAAGGACCGATGAAGCAGACATTCCTTTGCTTGGATTCGGGGAGAGGGAAGGGTATCCTATGCAGATAACAGCTTGTCGGGACCGCCATTTTGTTAACTTTGCGCGAACCAGGTCTTTGAGCGTTGTCCGCTGAACACGGTTATCCTAAACTTGGACAATAATTTCTTCAAAAAATTGAAGGCTCTCACAGCAAGATTGGGGGGGGGGGGAAGCTCCGAGGTCATGGACAATGACATCTCGGACAAAGGCCGGCGGGTACGTTCTTCACCTGTACGAATGTATTGTATCATACCCTCGTTATATCCCCATATGATTATTATCATTGTTATCATTATTATTATTATTACTGTTATGAGTGTTGTTGTTAGTACTATTGTGGTTATGGTTATGGTTATTATTATACTTCTTGTATACCTCTTTTATAAGTACGCCTTATGTACAGCCCTTATTACCCTGCACATGCCCAGACCGCTGTTGCTTGCACGTTCTGTGGTTGCACGCTTTTCTTTGGTCCCCAAAGAACGCTGGCCTCGATCTTCGAGGCGTCCTGAGCTTGGAAAGGCCGATGCGGCTGGGCAAGTTACTCGGTGAAAGTTCGCTGTGTTGTGGGCGAGTGTCGTCTTCTTCTTTTTTTTGGTTGCGAGGCTCGGTACCAGGGTCCCAGTGATCCTATGACTCTCATTTATGATTGTTACCCTATTCTATTCATGATTGTGACCCACATTTCGCAAAACTCACATGTTCGTCGTTTGATTCTGACCTCATTTACAGCATGGTTTAAAAGGGATGTCAAGAGAAACAACAACAGTTCAACAACCTTTTGGGGTCACCCTATGTTGACACATACCCACGCTGTATTTTTCTGGCATATGTTTGAAGGTGTTGGTTTTCCCCGATGGCATTTAAATGAAGGGGACGTTTTTTTTGAAGGAATATGCTTCTGTGTTTTTGCTGTTCCGTTTGAAGGGGATGATATTGTCATGCCAGGTGTTTCTGGTGGCACATGGTGGCAATTGCAAGTGACAGTTCTTAGCGGACGTGCAGCCGCGGGGGGGGAAGGTTTGGGCCCACTTTCTGCAATACCACAGTACGACCTCTTGAAGGTGACACTTTGGTATCAGGGAAAGGGTGATGTTCCATTTGCCTTTCCGCATGGAATATTTGCCATGGGCATTCATGATGCTACTGCGGTATTTCCCGCAACCTGGGCTGTTCAAAGGCAATCCTTACTCCTTAGCTTTGGGACCAGGAAAGGGATCCCCTCGCAATGGTTTTGCAGCGGTGAATGTTGACCCCATATTAATATTCTTACTTGCTCAACCCCAGTTTGTTTAAAAAAAATGCAAAAGTGGTCTGATTCTCCACATGTCAAGGGAAAAACACCCCCCAATTAAGCTCGTTGGTTGATTCGTACGGGGTCAACATTCAGATTAAGATTGGCCGAACAGGCCATGGACACTTCCTCATCTAAGGCTCAGGCGCTTGCGGGAGTTTGGCGTCGGGAACTCCATGGCTGACCGAGGTGCACGGCGGGCGGTTTGCTTCGGAACGGGGCTGCAATCCAAGCGCTCACTGCAAGAGCGAGTTCCGGGACTTGAGTCACTCTTAATGTTGACCCCAGATGAATCAACCCTGTCTATTAATATGGGGGAGGTTTATTAATCCGGGTCACTTTTAGCGAAGACCAGGTTTTGAGTAGATGAACAGTTTAGACCTTTTCGGGCAAATCCACTCAGGAAGTGAGACGGGCACACCTCTTCTCAACCCCCTTTTCATGCATTTTGATTCTGCATGGTTCTTCGACCGCCCCCTCTCCCGGCTCTGTTTTCAGTAGAAGTGTCCACCTTTTTCAAAAGGGCTTTTGCACTTCTAGTTCCCTCTACCGGAAAAGGCGGTGGAGGGTAAAGTAGGCAGAGAGGTTGCAACAATCCCGCTCCACTTTGTCCACTTCTCAAGGGAACCCAATTAGCGCAACTGGCATCTGCTTTCCAGTTTGCGACAGGTCAACGCAGGGCTGTGCTTTAGCTTTTGCTGTGCAAAGCACAAGGGTCTTGTCAGGCAACCGCTGGTGGTTTGGATTTGAAGCCCCGTTGCTGGAGATTACTGGAAGCTTGGAACCTCCAAACCACCATTCAAGCCAAACCACCAAGTCGGGGGAAGCTGACCTAGGTCCTGGATAGAGTTCAACTCTGCATTCAGGTGTTACTGGTTCATTCAGTTCTTCCAGACCCAGCCTTTGTGTACAAGTGGCACATGAAGCAAGATATGTTTTCTCACTTTGGTTGGGGATAGGTGTCCAGCAATGGTCTTAAACACTCGCCCCGGTGTCAAAACGTGTTGCTTTCCTTCAACTCTTTGGTTGGGCCCTAACCTTTGGCTTGTTGTCGGGAAACTGTGTAGTTTCCGACCAACCAGCAGGCAGTCAAAGTCTTTGTGCTGGGGTTTCATTTGGGCCCCGCTGAAGCCACAATTTGGGAGGGGGGGGCGGTCTGACAACATTCTTTGGGTGGCGATGGCTGCCTGCAACACGTTAGCTCAAGTAAATTTGAGGATGTCTTGCCAAAATATGCCCAGCCCTTTGCTTCCTGGTGCCAGGCTTGCAGGTCTTCTTAGATGCGTCTCTTCGTGGAGAGCTTCCACATTTGCGGGACGCGAAGCCGACGGTAAACAGTCGGCCGGCTCGGATTTTGGGCGAGTCACGGCAGGCATGGGATGGATAGGGGGCCGCTTGCATGCTCAAGCTCTGGAAAACGGTCGGTATCGTATACGGGCCATGGTACAACACACGCAGTAAGTTGCTACTGCATGCTACTGCTCCCCTGCAAATTAACATCAAACATCATAGAATCCAAAATAGGCTCAAAGCGAGATTTATCTAGCGAGATTCCGTGTAACCTGCAGGAATACTGGTATTTTTCTTTGGGCATTTGGAAAACCCCAGTTGGAAGCAGGCTCCTTGCAAAGAAGAACCCTGTGGAGTCCATTCTCCTTGGCTAGAGTGTGAAGCAAAGCAACAAGGTTGTATGGGCACTCAGCAGAGGATGGTTTCTCCTTTGCAAAAGTGTTACTTCCAAGATTGAGGTCCTCCAGATCCCTTGTTCAGAGCTTTGTCAAAACCCCTTTCGCTAGTGAAAGTTGAAAAAACTCTCCGCAAGAAAGCTTGGACCCCCCCAACTGCCGTCAGCTTGACAGAACTCTGTTTCACGTGCTGGAACGAACCCCTTTTTGGTGGATTTTCCTCCCCCCCCCCCCGAGTTGCTGAACTTCTGGACCAGAGTTAAGGATTCGGAGGCAGACAACCTGTTTGGACTGACCATGTTTTTTGCCGGGTATTGAGCTTCGCAGGACATCGGTTTAGTGGTAAACAGCAACGTACTATGTCCGACCAAATTCCCAAGTGAATAACCCTTTGACCCTCTCCTTAGACACCAGCTTGGTTTTTGGGAAGGTTTCCTGACTCAGGCATCGTGTTTCCCTTTGCGAGATCTTCTTTCCGGCTCGCAACATGTTTGGGCCTATTGGGCATATTAGATGTTTGACCTATTTCTCCTCAGGAACATGCGTGTGTTGGTGTTTGTGTGTGTGTGTGTGTGTTTATGTTTGTGTTTATGTTTGTGTTTGTGTTTAGTGTTTGTGTTTGTGTGTGTGTGTTGGTTGTTGTCCGCTATATTTTTTTTTTTCGCAGGGGGACATATGTTCAGTGGATCCAAGAGGAGCTGCACCTCACCCACAACCCCCTCACGGACCTTGGGCTCAACGAGCTGCTGAAGAGCCCCTTGCAGCTGAGCCATTTGGGCTTGGAGGGCACCAGGACCAGCGGCTCGGCCCAGGATTTTCGAGAGCCGATCACTGGGAGGGGAGTTGTATACTCGGAGTTCCCGTGGTTGTCAGGGCCCCCCCCCCAAAAAAAAAAACAGGAACCCTAGTGGCCCATAGTAGAAGCCTTATTAGGCCCCTAGATTGGCGGTATGGTTAGGGCACTAACCCCAGTTGGGTCACAACCTAAATTCGTGCACATGTCCCGCTTCGCTTGGTGGGCTCCCTCCAAAACATGGTCAATCCCCAAGAGGGGTCTGCCAGGGTCACTGGGCAACTGGGTTACACCACAGCACTAACAATGGCTTCTTGCTATAACCTGCTTGTGCAACTCCTTTGGCCTCCCGCACTGATGGGTAAATGGACAATAACGCATAAACAAGGCGAGCACTAGGCCGAAAGTAGACTGCGTTGAAACCCAACCGGAGGAATTTCGCCGTCTACTTTACCCCGCTGAGTTCTTCTTCCTTTGTGGGCTGGCGCGATGCTGGGTGCATGTCGCTAGCAATTCGAGGCAATTTGGCTCCATTGCTGGCAGTATTTGCAACTCCTTATGGTAGCTTCTTTGGCATACGCTATAGTATTCTGTGCTTAATTGTCATGTGCATTCCGCTGGGGAGATGGTATACAGGTGGGTCCCTTTTGTGGAACCACTCTTGCAGGATCTTAAGCCAGCACAGAACAAGTACCAGCAGCGAAAAAGCTCAGGAAGAGAACTGGCGGTACAAATGAGCTATGGAATCTGCAAAATGTTTGTGTGAACATGGTCTTGTGATTTGATCCGTTGGCAGGCTAGCCTGTTTGCGCGAAATTCCAGTGCCGGGCCTCATGTTTTTGTTTCCCTTTTGAAGGCAGCCCTTTAGGGGCATCCTGTTTTCCTTCGGATATGTGGGGCCTTTTCCTCCAACCGTCTGCCTTGTTTTTACCCTCGAACCCAGGAGACTTCGCTTTTCCCACAGGAAACCCTTTCCACACCCTTTCCCAAGGCAGCCGCTGCCGACGCGCCGTCCTCGACATGTTGGAGAGGTCCCGCGCGCCTGCGCAAGAGGATGGCTGAAAAAGACGCGGCCTGCAGCGCGGCGCGGAAGCTCTGGCTGGGTGCGAAGTTTGGCGCTAACTAGCCAAGCGATTAGTTTTTCAATCGGAGACCAAACAAAGATTGGCATTTTGTTGTTTGCCACACCCATTTGGCACACAGTAAGCCATCCATAAGGACCGGGACAAAATGGATCAAGACCTAAGGCATTTCCGTGATCTTTGGCTTCTGGTTGGCAAGATATCATTATATTAAACCAGGATCAAAGTGGAAGTTGTCCACTTCCCCTGATAGGTAAACCACGCCTTAGGCCAGCAGAGACCTCAGATACCGCTGCCAATTACACACCGTTGGGCATTGTGTGGCCTTCAGATTGCGCCCCTACCCTTCCACCGGCTAGCATTCGCCCCCAACTTAAGGTCGCTCTGAGAAGAGAACGTGTGGTTCTTTGTTCCATGCCAAGGTAAGGTGGGAAAGCCCAGACGCATTTGGGTTGTCAAAGGGCCCGCAGGATGATCCCTAGAATAGCTTCTGGCTCCTTTGAGAGGAGGCGGGGGTTCAAGTACTGCATAAGGGGTCGCAAGTGCCTTGACCCAGGCCGAGCCTGAAGCAGGCCGGGGGGTCGGAGAGGGGAGCCTGGAGTGGGATCAGGTGAGGATTGTTCAAGTGGGCAGTCCAACCAGAAGTCCATGGCATTGGTTTGTAGATGGCTTTCTCGATTGCTTTTCATGGGGAAGGGAACGGCGCCATGTCAACCACTGATACTCGTACTTTTCCAACGGGCACTGTACGCGCACTCCTCACTTGAGCGCAAGGCGGCAAAGAACGCCTCAGGGGGAAGGTAAGGGACCCTTCATCTCTTTTTTATGAAGCGGCCCACAGGGAAGAGCCATCAGAGAGGTGCACGCCCTCGACTGAACCTGAAACCCCAAAACAGTACCCTCAAAAGGAGCTTCCCTAAAACCCCACTTAACCCATATGAACGCCGCCTATGTATGGGGGCTAAACGTATTTGTTCCAGGCTCCGCTCAAGACCCAGTCGCGCTTTGCTTGCTCCGTGCCCAGGTGAGTTGGGTGAAGGACGCGGGCAGGTTGACAAAGACGCGGACGCGGAGGACGAGGAGGAGGAAGAGGAAGAGGCAACTTTGTTCTGTAGGGTTATTTGGTTGGATCTTTGGGCGTCGGCTTTTTGGGAAACAGTGGATTTTCATTGGATCCACAAAAAGATAAAACTTTTCGCAGAGGGGTCAACAGCAACCAAGTGTTGAGCCACAGAACAATCAGCAATGGCTGCGCTGGGGTCAGTCTTGTTAGACGCAGGTTTTTGAGCTTTGGAGGGAAGCGACTTGTTTCAATCTTGTCATGATGCAGTTTGGCGGGTTGATTAAAATTGATCGGGCGATTTGTCAAAAGATCACACTTTCCAGTCCTTAACACTTTACTTGCCCAAATGTCATGCCGCCATTTCAGATAGGTTCAATCAATCAACTGACCAGGGTGAATTGTTGCTTGCAAACCAAAGATCGTTTGCCTTGGCTGTTTTGCAAGGCCAAGTTCAGCCCCAATCTGAAGAGAGCCTGGTCAACACTCTGGGTTTCGGACAGCTTCTTTTGGGGGGCTGGTATGTCGTGGAAATCCCAGTTAATTGTTCAGTGGATCCCGCCCTTATTGCCTTTGTTTCTGGTTCGTTCTCCACTAAATGTGGCAACCCCAGAACTTGGTGGCTCCCAGCCATCTCCATCCCCGTACCTTTCAAAGCTTTAAGGGTTTAGCGGGTTTCATTTAACCCACTAAAAGTTAAGCTTTTGGTAGATCTGAGGACGGCCCCGAGAAAAGGTGTTCGGTCCCCCCCAAACTCATTGTGCTGGGCCGACCGCTTAGCTTGCGAACCTGGAAGGTCCAGACTAATTCGCCAAAACCCGAAATGGCTTTCGCAGATACTGGGCCAAACCGGTTGGGCTCTAGTGGGTTTTGCTGCGTTTTGGTGGGGTTAAGCCGGGTTTTTGCCTGTTTTTGGCCGACTTGACAAATGTCCGGGTGACCCCCCTGTCCCTTTGGCAGGCCGACCGTCCGGCCTCAGATGTCGGTGCGCCGCCCCCTCTCTCTGATGACGGTTGACTTCCCAGCCAAGTGAGTTTCGTTCGCTTCACTTTTTTGGGGAGGGGGGGGGGGGGGAGGGTTTTCCGTTACTCAGGCAACTCTCAGTTGGTTTGGATTGGCGGTTTAGGGACTTGAGCTTCAGGGAAGCTCTTAGGATCCATGAACCAAACTGTGGTGACTTGCAGAGAGAGAGAGAGAGAGAGAGAGAGAGAGAGAGAGAGCGAGCGAGCGAGCGAGAGAGAGGGAGAGACTTAGAGAGCGAGCGAGAAGGAGCGGCTAGCTTTCTTTGGTAACCGGTGGCAATAAATAGATTCATCCAAGACTTGACCAAGTGTGGAGGGGTGCTCTAGTTTTTGCAATCCGTTTCAGCCTCCCAGGACGACATTATGTTTGACGAATCCTTTGATTCTTTGCATAGTTTTGGAAAGACATTTAATTTTGACTCCGATTGGAATGGTTCCATCCGAGGCTCAAATTGGCTTTAGAGGGAAACCAACTCGAAAGAAAGCCCGCATTGCAGTTGCACTTGGCGAAAGGGGTGAGGGCCTGGGCAATCGCGTGGCTATGTGTTCAATGCTGGATGCAGAGGGGCAGACGCAGATTTTGTTGCGTTTACATTCAAATTCCCACACCTTGGGACATGTCCTGTTGCGGGTGAGTCCTGTTGGTTTGTCTTGTGTTGCCAGCGGGCTGTGCGGCTCTCTTTCTTTCGGCGTGTTCAGCACTCAAGGCAGGCCTCGGTGAGAAAAGCTTGCTGCCTACAGCTGGATGCCACGTTGGACAGCGTGTTTTGACTTTTTCCTAAAGGGCAGGCAACGGGATGGCTAGTTTGGCCTTTTTGCGGAGTCCTTATTTCGCATCCAGATGGGCAAGATGGGCATCATGTGTGACCGCAATTTAGGCCCAAAGTGATGTAACTCAGCACGCAGATGCGCTCAGCACAGGTGGGGACGAGTGTAGTACTGGCACGGATGTGGGGCGATTCCCATCAAAATCCATCAAATTTGTTGGCTTCAGTTGTTGTGTTCTCCCGGTACCCTTTAAGCACCATCCAATTTTTTCCTTTGTGGCCCCCTAACTGTGGACAACCCCGTTGGCACATGCCAGGCTCAGCATTGCCCCTTTCGCGCCCGCCAGCCAGTTTTCAGCCGTGAATGGGCATGGCCTTGAGCCGTGGGTGCCAAACAGCCTGTAGTTTTTCGTTCTCCGGGTGCTAAATCGAGCTAATTGTCGCCCCCCTACAGGAAGCCACCCCCAATTCCACACCCGAAGCTGCGTGTCAGATACCTAGGGACTGTCGTCCTGCCCCTTGCGCGCTCATGAGCTAACATGCCAAAGCGTGTGACCTGGGAGGCGACGCGTGGGAGGTGTAGGGCGGGATCCCATCAATTGCGGGCAGCTTGTTCCGTGCTTTCGGGCGGCTGTGTGTTTGGCGGGCTTTACATTTTGATATTCAAGCCACTAGGCAGGTAGTCATGGTTGTATTTGGTCAATTTGGGGTTTGGTTCCTTGTGATGACGGTATTTATAGTATTCGCCTACATGACGAGTTGACCATCCAAGGCGCTGCAATCCAAACAGATGTCGCCTAGAATCCTGCCGCCTTTGACGTGCTTCACACATCTTCAAACTGCAACTCGTTGCGGGGAAGGCAAAGGAGGGCGATGACAGGCGGTGTTGCATCCCAAGCATACTGCAGGTATTTGCAGGTGATGTTTGATGTTTGGAAAGGGTGTCAGCGCAAAAGGCAGCCTGGCTGCGGTTTTGACAGGGAGCAGACATGAAGCCGACCGCTAACTCGCAGTCCAACCCCCCCCCACAAAAGTATTACTCCCCCAACTAGTAGGGTGACCACGTCCGTTTGATTCGCGGCACGGCGTTTAAGGCAATTTCCTTTGAAGCTTTTCCGTTCTTAACCATCCTGTGCGACCTCCTCCACGCCATGCAAAAATGCAAGCGCCCTCTTTCCGACAGTCATTAAAGTGGACAGGTCCACGTCCATGATTGTTGGATCGAGGGCAATCCCTCAATAAATGCGAACAACTCGAACAAATCCAACATTGAGATCTCAAATCTTTGGCAACACTGCCAGACGTGGCCTACCTGTTTAACTTGTCCTTTTGGGGTTCCTTCATTGCGCTTACTAGCGGTCCAACATACTGTTTGCAGGGCTCGAGACATAAATTTGGGCAAGAAACAGTCCAACAACATAGATCCACCCCAAGATAGTCCACTAAATCTCCCCCCTCAAGCATTGGTCCCTAAATGTCCCCCCTTTTTTTGGTGGTGTGAAGTATGGCGTTGAATGGCCATTGCGCTGGCCCGGCTTGAAGTAGGCTTGTTTGAAATTGGCTTGCTGGACATGGTTCCAGTTTTAGTTTTTACCTTAAGAGTCGTGTCGATCGTACCGGGGCTTTGAGGTAAAGAGAGATGCCGAATTGTATTATTAGGCGCTAAACTGCTTAGAAGCTCCACCGTATTTAGCAAGCGAGCTTAGAAGAACAAAAAACTAGAAAACAACAAATACAATCAGCAACAAAACAAACAAATACACAAAAATGGACATATATTAAAAAACAACAACAACTATATATAAAACAAACACAAGCCCCTTGACAAGTGAATGATTATTCGTGTAAATAAATACCAACCCACAATGGTGTCCCATGGTTCCAATCTGGTGCGACATGGATTTCGTCCGTCCACACCATTCCCCCCCCCTTTTCCCGGCAGCCCCCGCAGCTGGGTGCAGGACCTGAAGGGCGCAGACGCGGAGTTGTTGGACTCCGAGGGCCAGCGGAGGACATGGGACGCTGGGGCCAAGACTTAGGCCGCGATCAAAACCCGGGCAGATGAAGGTTAGTAAGGGCCAATCCCAGCCATAAATAGCTGCGGCCGCCTGCTGAATTCTTTACATGGCTCTGGGTTCACCATTTTAATACCGGGTTTTTATTGCGGCTCATTTGGTGTTCAGCCCACTTCGTAC